AATGGCGATGTCGCACAACTAAAACGCACGTTGACTTTAAAGACAAACGAAGAAGACGGACCAGAAATGGTTGGCGTTTGTTATGTTTAAGGACATCAAGTAATTTGGAGCTTTTATAAATACAACATATTATGATATTAATTTAAACCAACTTGGGTTTCCTCTACAAGTCTATACACATGTTTTTAGAGCAATATGTTTACTCTAAGAGTCTACAGAATTCATATTCGGTTACATCTAAGAGTGCACATAATATCTGGGTATTTACTAGGAAGTATCCCAAACACATTACTGTACAATTTGACCATGAATGCATCACAGACCGAGCGTTGTCAACAGAAACGTAACAACTCCCGACTTAACAGTTGTTAGCACTAACGGACCAAATGTAAGCTTGGATATAACCATTTTCATTATAAATAAAATAGTGGTAAGTAAAAGCGCTTGGATATAATCTTTTTTATTATAAATAAAATAGTGGTAAGTAAAACGTTATCTTTTTTGCGTTTTTATACTTCATCACAAGATAGCTTAGAGCAAAGCCTCATTTTGGGTATGGTACTGTCCCCTGCTAACACTTGAAAACCTGTCACGACCTGCTGCTTAAAACAGCTCAACTCTGTAGTGTCGGAGATTTCAGTGGGGAAACGTTCGGTAGGGAGTTGAACTTTTGTAGTTTCATAGGCAAGGCTCGAAGCGTTAGTCATAACACGCCATTTGAGCGTTAAACTCTTTTTTTCGAGTGTGTATTGATACGCGATCGTAGTAGTTGCCACGTTTGCATTACATTAGCCTTACGCTTGTCGGTCGTTCTTCCGTTAACTGTTTTAAGGGATTTAAATGTTAAATGTGTTTAATTTATTGTGCGCGTGTGTCTTTGTGTCTATGAATGAGTCACCTGGAAGTGCATTACCTCTCCACTCCACAGGAAGGCGTCCTGGCGCTTTGTGGTGTGTTTCCGTTTAATTTAATGTATTCATGAACTAAAGCCAACTTTAAAAAATTTAACCCAATAATAAAAGAATTATTTTTTTTCAAAATTTGGGCCATGACGATGGAACCCTATGGTCTGACATGGTCTGGGTTTTTTTACTTGCTTGATCCAATTACATTTGGTCTGGGTTTTGTTAACACACATTAAGTTCAGTACTAAACCAAGTACCGTCGTTTTCTTCTAGACAATGTTTGGCCTTGCATGGCAGTACTTGTACACCTCCTTCCTGAGGTACTGGTTGAAGTGGTTCATCAGACTGGTGACAGGGAAAACTGAGCTGCAGAGAATATGTGCCGGGAATAAGCCAGGGGCTCGGAGGACGACAAAAGCAGGTGACTACAGCGTGTGGACTCAATGTTAACTCATTACATTGATGACTTATTCGTTATATTTATGTCACTTGTTTGCCCCTTTTGTAGAATACTCCCTCCGCTCTTCTAAGAACAAGGTAAGCTGATCCCACTCTTTCATGTGCTCTCGTCTTTGGTTTGAAAAGGATGAAAGTTCACTGAGTTTATATAATGTGGTCATATTGTGTTAGTTTGGACCCCCAGCAGAATCACACTCTTGTCCCGACCCCTTCATTATCTTCTAAATGCTGAGCCTTATCAGTTGTTATCAGTCGTCACACTTGTAAGTGTAGACAAATTGACTCTACTGGTCATTTATGGTTACATTACAACATGGTGTAAGCATGTTCTAATCAACACTCCATATCACTGTAAAGTGCTGTTGTAATCTTTTCCGTTTGCTTTGAGAACATTCAGCGACACTCGGTGACTTTTCTCCGTAGTGATTAACACTATCTTTTCTCTTTGTGATTCTTTCTCTGACCTGCGCCTCCTTTTACCCCAGGTTTTAAGAGCAGCGGTGGAAAGCAGCACGGAAAATCTCCAAGAATGTGTGCAGCAAATTATGAAGGAGAAAAACATCCAACCGCAGAAAGACCCTCAGTGAGCTGCAAATTTGTCACGTTGGTATTTTCATCACATCTCGTTGCCTGAATTATCCTCATATTTTTACTTCTACTATTTTAGGTTTAAGGTCAGTCTGCACACCTGTCTGTTACAAATCACTGGATACAGAAGTTTGTACACAAATGTGGAAGACCTGAGGAAACAGATTTTCAGCTCTGAGAAGACGGAACACGAGGACATGCTTTTGAAAGTAAGTACTTAGGGCTGATTATAAGACAATTCGAAAATTAAAATGGTGACGTCCCTAGCTGATTATAATTTATTAGAAAATTAAAATGGTGACGTCCCTGATTTGTCCCACAATTGGGAAATTCAATTCACAGTGTGAATCTTTGCAACTCACGCAGGCTGCCACAGGGGGCGTCATTAAGGCAGAAGGTTGTTAATGTGACAGTTTCACACATTGTGTACGTGAATTGTGTAACTCTGTCACTGTTTCCTCAGCTCTGGGGCCTGTTGATGCCAAACATCAAACTGGAGTCAAGAATTACCAAACAGTGGGGAGACATTGGTTTCCAAGGCGATGACCCCAAGACTGACTTCAGAGGAATGGGCCTGCTGGGACTGGTCAACCTGTTGTGAGTGACAAAATGTCCTAGAATCACTGTAAAAAAAACAACAAAAAAATAATACAAACATCAGAAGTTAAGAATATATAAAATATATATCATTTTTTAACTTGAATTTTCAAAATTCTTTTGCAGGTTTTTCAGTGAAAACTACACAGAAGAGGCTCGACAGGTGTTGTCTCATGCGAACCATCCTAAACTGGGGTGAGAGACATTTATCATTTGATTATTAGTGACTGAATCATCTCTTAAATACATGTAGATCTAGATACTGTAGGGGTCGAACCAGTTTTTGGTCTGGAGATGCAGTTGTCACTTAGCCATCCTGTGTGTGTGTGTGTGTGTGTGTATTTTGTGTCAGGTATTCATATGCCATAGTTGGGATCAACCTGACAGAGATGGCCTACAGTCTCTTGAAGAGTGGAGCTTTGAAACCACATTTCTACAACACAGTGCCGGGTCCACCGGAGCTGCAGCACTTTCACCAGTTGTACTGTGAGTCGACTGACCTGACCCCTGACCTTCACCGTCACATGACCCTGTCCGTTTCATATAAACGTCTCCGTCTCTTCTAGGTTTCCTGGCCTACGAGTTTGACAAGTTCTGGCTGTTGGAGGAACCAGAGAGCATCATGCACTTCAATCAGTACCGGGAAAAGTTCCACACCATCATCAGGACACACCTGCAGGAACCCGACGTCTCCCTCACACTGACCGTCCGCCCTTAGAGATGAAGTGAACGGACTGAACGGACGGTAATTTCTGAATCTCTTTGGATGAATAAAAACAAACAAACATGAAGATGAACAGAGTGAAGCTCCCGCGTCTCTAACATTGCTCACATTTCCACTCAGTTGTCCGCTGCAGCTGAAGACGTGATCGTGTGAAGGTCGTCCACGCTGTAGTGACAACAGCTGCTGTTAACTGCTAAGCTTCATAGAGAGATGAGACATTCAAGAGCTGCTGAAGCAGACTGTAGTGATGATAAGACACAATATTATTATTATGTTTGTTATAGGCTGGTGTTTAACAGGCACTGATGCACTTTGACTGAAGAAGCAGCCGAAGTCTTAGTGTTAACAATTAACCACCGAGGTTTTTTTGGTTCCAACCATCCTCCTGTTTGTGTTTGTTGTCAGAGTTTGTCCTGTTCAGGAATTTGATATTTATGTCCAGAGATTTTTTTTTATAATTCTTTAATCTTTTGACCATTAATAGTCAACAGTAATTTACCAAGTGGTCCTAAACTCGTGTGGCCTAATAGTGAAGTGGCGTTTTTGTAACTTGTTTGTAAATGAGTTTTTTTTTCTTTGAGGATCATGTGAAATAAATCATTGATGTTGAAAAGAGTGAATAAAAACATCTGTACACATCTGTATAACAAGTCAGATATATTTAGTGCTTATATAAAGATGTGTTACATTTAGACCTGAGTTATTAAAAAGGAAAAAAAAAATTATTTAATTCCAGCTGCCTCATGTTTATGTGGCAGTCCTTTTTTTTTTTTAACATTTACAGCTAAAGTGCAATCCCAGCTCTTACCACAGGAGTTCAGTATAAACACTCGTTCTACAAAAGCTCCATATTTGGCTTGGGCTGATGATGATGATGACAAATCTTCAATTGCACAAGATTGTTCTTCTTCCCTGGAATTGATTGTCTTGTCATCACAGCACAGAATCCCTGTCAGATACGACTCAAAGAGGAAGTGATGGTTGGTAGGTTCCCTCTGACAGCCTCTGGTCCAGATCATGTCTTCAGCTCCACTGTGAAGCTGTGAAGCTCAGTTATGTGCCTCAATGTTCTTCTTGGTGACCATCATGGCCCTCTTGATCTGCTCGAACGAGACGAACATCACGACATTCCATGATCCTAACCTCAGGAACGATGGAACAAATCTTTGGAGGAGGAAAAAAAAAAAAAAGTCAGGAGAAGATGGAATTTTAAATCCAAACATGGAGCCCCGGTCAGGGAGACACAGCTTACCCCTTGTAGAAAGCCGTTGGCCCCTCTTTAGTCATCATGGTCCAGGCACAGTTGATGGCGCTGTTGTACTGGCCTGGCGGTGAGTTCATGTACCTGGTCTTCACCACGTCGACCGGAGAGGCGATGACGGTGGTGACGAAGCCGGCACCGAACGCTGACACGAAGTGACACGGCAGGTTGTCTGTGAAACAGGAAGAAAAAACACAACGTCAACTCGCCGCATAGTCTGGGTGTAAACGTTACTTATTCAGCACAAAAGTATTTTTGAAATTACACAATTAACACAAGAGTTTACATTTTAATTTGATTAATCGCGACCTTAAGTTGACTTTTTTTTTTACATCCAAACAGTCCAGGTATGTTGCGACCTTAAGTTTTTATTTTTATTTTTATTTTTACATCCAAACAGTCCAGGTATGTAGAAACTTTTCGTATCTACTGCGTCTCCACTAGAAGAATCCAGCTTTGGTTCTTCCTGGAGTTGGAAGGCCTTTGTTCTCAGAGAGCACCGTCAGCAAATTACAACGTGAGCGGGAGTAATAAAAAGAAATGGAGATAAAAGTGGCATAACTGATGTGTTTTTACTGCAGCCAGAGGAACAGACGCTGTGTGTGTGTGTGTGTCCTGTTATCAGCTGTAGATTACAGGATGAGAGGGTGTGTGGATTTCTGTCCAATCAGAAAGTATCTCCGGTGTGGTAATGTGTGTGTGGTAATGTGTGTGTGGTAATGTGTGTGTGTGTGTGCTACATGTCGGACTCGTATTATCTCACCTGACATCAGCTTGTGTTTAAGGACGGCCTCCTTGATCAGGTCATACGTGACCAGCTCCGTGCAGTTGACCAGAGCGTTTCTTGTAATGTTGGGTAACGTGCCTGAACAGAGAAAAAGAAAACAACAGACACTGATTCGTCACTCTTCCTCTGTCATGTTTCCATCACTGATGAGTCGCAGCGTTCTTCTTGACGCAGCACCTTTCCAGAGGCCACGTAAACCCTCGTTCTGGAAGATGTGTTTGTAGGCCTGCATCGTGCCGTTGTACCGACGGGCCACTCCGTCCAGGTTCACCTGAGCCTGGAATCGAACCTTGACCACATCAGTGGGTTGAGCAAAAGACACCGCCATGGCGCCTGTGGTACAGCCGGCCAGGATACGAAGCAGAACTCCTGGGTCTGGATGAAAAAACGCAAAGAAAAAAATGTTTTGAATCCACTTCATAACATTCAAGAGGAGAAACAACAGATGAATGTATTTGTGAAGTTTTTACCTAACATTTATAAATAACACACAGTGGCGGTGCGTACCCCTCCTGATGCAACACAACTGCAGACTACATGGAATCGAACCCTTCCTGTCAGCCTCCTGTCATTTTACCTCTCTCAATAAGAAATGATGAAGTTTTAATTTTTAATTTCTCCTGTGAACCTCAACGCACCACATTCCTGCCATAGGAGGGAGGAACCACATACTTGGCGCCTCCTAGGGGCGGCTTGTTGCAAGAATTTCCCCCAGTGTGGGATCAATAAAGTCCCCCAGTATGGGATCAATAAAGTTCATAAAATTATTAAAAAAATAAAATAAAATAAAATGTTGCCATAGTGTAAAAATCCAAAAGAGAAATGATGTAATAAATGGATGGGGAAGAACGACAGCTGTTGATAAACCTACAGGAGAAGTGATGGGGAGTACATGGAGGTCGGCCTGCAGTCTGCAGCAGTGTCTCCTCATAATGTCTAATAATAATAATAATTAATTTAATTAATTAGAGAAAATGCAAGAAAAACTGCAAAAATTGCAATCCTTAGTTTTCAATCGGTGACAGGAACTGTTGTGTGACCAACTGAAGTTCTGCATCTGTACCGGATTTTTGGATCATAGGTTTCAAACTATAACCTAATGAATTATTTTGATATGAAATTAAGTCAATCAGTGGAATACTTTTTTAAAGGTTTAAAAACACGAAGTTATATTTTGAACTAAACAGACTCTGGAGTCACTGACTGTCTTTTCCACCGGTGTAGAAATCTCTGACGTTGTCGTAGAGGCCGATCCTGATGGAGGCGAAGCACAGTTGTCTCTGCAGACCTGCCACCAGACCGTTGTACAAGGACTTGGGTCCCTCGGTCCGTATCATGGTACTGATGGTCCCGAACACGCCTCTGTAACGGATGCCACTCATCGATTTCTTCTCTCCCTGGACCTGCGTGTCAAAGGTCAAGCAGAGCAGCCTTAAGGAGCGAATAGAAGAACACAGAGTTTTTGTTTTGGTTTCAAAGCTGTCAATGATTGAAGGCCAGTGGACACAGATGACCCGTCACCGCAGGTTACCAGAGCACAGAGTGGTACAGACTCAACAGGTATGTGAACGGGTTTGAAGGAACGGTTCTGCAGCATCATCATCATCATCATCATCATCATCATCAGCAGCAGCAGCAGCAGCAGCAGCAGTGATTACCTGCAGCCTGACTTTAGCCGTGTCCAGAGGAAACGTGACGAGGTCTGCGATACAGGCTGCTGCTCCGGCGCTCGCCATCTTCACCCCCAGAGGAGGGGGGACATCTGAGGGTTTCAGTCCTACCATGATTCCTGTTGCAAACACACACACACACACAAAATCAACACCTATAATTATACCTAAACAGCACCTTGACATCTGACATGTCAGGAAATGGTGACAGGAAAATTGCTCACCGTCTGACGGTCCCTTTTCGATCCCAGGATGTTTGTTACCAGGCAGAGTTTGTCCAGATTATAATCCATTAAGGTCTTTCGCTCTTCTCTCAGGAGGGAGACATCTTTTGCTGTATTTATGCATTCTGTGGCCGGCGTCTTTATGACATCCCCAGAGAGGCGTTACTGTACACCTCTGTGAACCCGGCTGAGTCAAAGTCCACTCACTGTCAGGAAGTCAATGTCCAGATGACTCCACACTCAGACGCTCTCTAGAAAAACAACTTTTTTGACTTTGACTGCTCATCAAAATGGATGGATTTTACTGTTCACGTACCTGCAAAAGTAACAGACCATCGTTAGTCAGTGAATACTGTACTGTATGTGAACAGAAGGAAGTGAAGTGTTTGGACAGAACAGACACAGATCTACATCAACAGACAGTGAAATTATGACTAAAAATCTAGACCCAAAACATGAGAGTTTGTAAATTAATAGGAGAGTGTTTTGTGTGAGAGAAGACCTTAATTTCACGAGGATGACCTCGGGGTGGGGGGTGAGGGGGGCAGAGAGATCAAAGTTGTGACGTGAATCAATGAGCAAAGGTCACTGGGGGGTAAATAAGAACTCCAAATGCGTCACAAAATGTTTGCATCACAGTGGTTTGTCTGTTTCATCACTCTCTGCTCTAGTTTTGTGAGAACCGATCAAGTACATTTATAGTTCAACATTACAATTAAAAATACACTGGTTACAGTGATAGTTTTAAGTTGTTTTAAAGGTTAAGTCAGTGGTTCCAAAACGTCATGTGCAGCGCCCCCTTTTGTAAAAAGGACTGACGAGTCCTCCTCCATTGACACATGAATACTTTAACTTTAATCTCAACCAAATTTTATTCAAATACTGGAATTAATACTGAAAAAATTGAAAAAAAAAAACCCCACAAATAATGAATTAATAATCATAACGTCCCAACAGTAGGACAAATAAAGAAAAAAAACAAACTCTTTTGCTCTGATGAGACCACCTGCAATATCTTTCCGTACCCTAGAGGGCGCCGCATTCCACTTTGCGAACAACTGGGTTATCGTTAAAAATTAAAAGCTATTTTAATGCAGTTAAATAGAAAAGAAAATGGGGATAAAGTAATTTATCAGATGACGTCATGTTGTTTTTCAGTGTATGAAACGGTGTAATTATTAAAAAATGTATTTTTTTCTTGGATATAACTAACACAATGAGAACACAGTGCAGGTTCTGACTGGTTTGAGGTCTCATGTCTCTACTGATTAATTATTTCTTGTTTGTCTCCAATCTGCGGCTGGTCTGTTCTGTGGTGAGTGAGTGAGCTGACTTCTGATTGGTCCATCTGAGACACATCCCCCAGTCTGTTTGGTCCATATTGACAACAAGACTGAGCCCATGTGGATTAAACACAGTGGAGTCAAAGGTGTGTCCTGATAACGTTACTCTCTTAAAGGACTTTTTTTTCTTTTTTTTTCTGCACCACCTTAATGTATGTCTGCCTTTAGTGAAGACAGAACATAATCTCTTCATAAAATAATATTCCTTAGAAGAGTTCATTAAACTGTCCACAATATTTACCTTACAAATAGCATGTACTCTGTAGTACAATATATTTTTTTAAAATATTCAAATTCAAAGTTTAAAGGATAATCTTTTTTTTTACTCAGTTTAAAATGAACATTTATTAATACAGTGGCTCCAAAGTGAGGGGCAGGGCCTGGTTGGGGGCATGGAACTGTTGTGAGGAGAGAACTTTTTTGTGCCTCAGTGGGAAAATTGCATTAATTTGCAATTTTTTCACATTTTAAATAGTTCATCCATTAGTTAAATTTTTTTGTTTTTCTTCATCTTTTATATATAAAAAATGTAAAAAAAATGACATTTGAAATTCAGTTGTACATAAAACACTGGACATCAGCAAATGAGAAAAAGAACTGTTAAGAACTAGACTTTGAGCCCACCAGAAAAAAAAAAAAAAAACAGTTCCAAACATCTCTGGACCTCGGACATCGGTACAAAGTCCTTTGTTACCGAGTAAAGATGTCAGCAATATCCTTGCTTTAAGCAGGAGGCTTATACACATATATATGTGTACATATATATATATATGTGTGTATATACAGACATATGTATATATTATCTTTTACTTCAAATTATTAGCTTCCTGAAAAAGAAACAAAAAAAATATTTTCCAGACCTACTCTCCATATAACATGTTATTTCATGTACTGTATACATGAAATAACATGTTATATTTGTGAGTAATTGTGAGTTTTAAAATATAAATAGAATTTTCTTTTGTTAATAAAGTAGAAAGGGAGGTATAATCCGTGTTGGTACTGACCTACAGAAGGCACCGACTTCACCCTCATCCATATCTGTGGAGCCGTCTGTGGACCTGGGTTACAAAACAAAAACCTTCAGCCAGAAGAACCATGAGACGGGAACTCCTCCTGTGGTGAAGTGAAAACTGCTCCAAAAAAAAACAAAACAAAACAGAAAATGTAGAAAAAAAACATGGTTATTCAGCAGACACGTGATCATTTCATTTCCCGAACTGTTCAGTTTTTATATATAATATGAAAGTTATAGATGTGAGAACCACAGGTCTGATGAATTTCACTTCTTCATGGTTTTGCCCTAACCTGTGGAACCACAAGAGGGCAGTAACAATCGACAACATGCAATAACAATTTGTCAAGACCTATTTAAGTCATTTTATTGAGGTGTTGACACACGATGCAGTTAAATTTAGCATTTTAACAACAAGCTGAGATTAAAAAAATAAATCACATAAAAACAAATTAAAAACAGAAGTATAAAAGTTCACAGGTCAACGTAAAAAAAAAAAAAAAAATCAAAGGAACAGGAGAACATGTCGGTTGGTGTTTATAGGTCAGTTACCAGCTAACGGTAAACTACACATTAGTGAAACAGATGGTAGTAAACGTGACGAGTGCAGCCTTTTCAACAGCAGATTCTTAGTGTAAACTTCTTCCTCTTCACAGAATATTTACATTCGTAGTACTCCTGAACCACAGAAAGTACACGTACTCTAGCACTTTGACAGTTTTTAGTTTTGTTTTCGCTTTCTTTTTTTAAAAATTCAAAACAAAAAAAACAACAGTGCATAATGATGAACATTATATGGAGGTGAGAAGTCATGTGTGTGTGAACACGGTAAAATATTGCACGAAATTAACGATTAGCTTCAAGACGTTTCGCAGGATGAATCGAGATAAAATCCTCTATTCAAATAAAAACAAACAAAAAATATTAGCAGCAACTTAAATCATAAAGTCAGGGAGCCATTATCTGATCATATATATATATATATGCATATATATGTTTATATATATATATGTATATATATATTTTTTTTTTCTCAGGCTGTCATAACGATCGTACACTATTTATATCTTTACTTATAAGGTGGACTGAGTCTGGTGACATTTACATCGACGCAGCCTATGAACGTGAGTACACGGTTTGACGACATTCACACTATTTCACTATCATTTAAATTACAGCTCTTATATGTGTGGACATGGGTTTAATGTGGGAAATCTTTAAATATTAATGTTCCGCCGCAGCAGCGGGATAAAAGTGATTGTTCTAATAAAAGTCCTTCACATCTGCTAAAATACATGTACACGTTTTTGGTCACATTTGTTCCTCCGTCATAAATATACACTGTACACCTCCTGTCACCGTCACACCACCTCACTATTTTTCCCTTCTGCAAGTTGCTGTGTTTTTTTTTTCTTTTCTCCTTTCTTCATCCAGACAGTGAGATCTCATAGTCACTGGAGGACAGCAGAGGGCGCCCAACTTCATGCACATTCTTGGCATTGGTGATGCGCGCCGCCACCTCCACGGGCTTCTCAAAGTAGTGGACGAGGGCCTGCTCTGTGAGCACCGAGGCCAGGAACTGCTCAAAGGTGATGGCCCAGTCTTTGTCGATGCTCGTGCTGTGGGGCAGACCTTTGTCCAGGTGTCCAGCGCTCCCAGAGGGCCGGCTGCCTTTGTCACCGTCAGCCCCGGGGTCACTGTGCACCAGCACCGTGTCTTCTGCGATGTCTTCACACTGCAGCTTTTCGTCCAGCTCGTGGGAGCACGCGCTGAGCACGGAGTACGACGACATGGAGGTGTCGTCTTTGGTTTCGTCGTCAGAGATGAGCATGGCCATGGAGGTGGTCGTGTCTTTGGGGGACGAGTCCTCCAGCTTGATGTCGTGCATCAGCGCCATCTGCTCGCTCTCCGCCTCCTCCTCGCACGTCTTCGGCTTGTTCTCCTCCTGGTTCCTCCGCTGAAAGGCGTCGTCGACTCCCGCCTCCCGGCTGTCTTTGGACTCCGAGGCGTCTCTCGTGCTCGTGTTCAGCTCAGACTTGGTCTCACCGAGGAGATCCTTTCTTATGAAGGAGGAGGAGGAGGAGGAGGAGGAGGAGGAGGAGGAGGAGGAGGAGGAGGAGGAGGAGGAGGAGGAGGAGGAGGAGGAGGAGGAGGAGGAGGAGGAGGAGGAGGAGGAGGAGGAGGAGGAGGAGGAGGAGGAGGAGGAGGAGGAGGAGGAGGAGGAGGAGGAGGAGGAGGAGGAGGAGGAGGAGGAGGAGGAGGAGGAGGAGGAGGAGGAGGAGGAGGAGGAGGAGGAGGAGGAGGAGGAGGAGGAGGAGGAGGAGGAGGAGGAGGAGGAGGAGGAGGAGGAGGAGGAGGAGGAGGAGGAGGAGGAGGAGGAGGAGGAGGAGGAGGAGGAGGAGGAGGAGGAGGAGGAGGAGGAGGAGGAGGAGGAGGAGGAGGAGGAGGAGGAGGAGGAGGAGGAGGAGGAGGAGGAGGAGGAGGAGGAGGAGGAGGAGGAGGAGGAGGAGGAGGAGGAGGAGGAGGAGGAGGAGGAGGAGGAGGAGGAGGAGAAGAGTTTTCCTACCTCTCCCATCTCCAGCAACAAACTGGTGACGGTAGCTGTGGCGTGGTAGAGCTCCTGCTCCGCAGCGTCCTCGCTGAACATGCTGTAGAGCGACTTACACAGCTCGATGAACTGACTTCTGGACAGGGGAAAAAAAATAACTCAGGTTAAATCTAAACCACCTGAAGACTGAAGAACTAACGTCAGAGGACGGGAACCTCACCTGATTCAACTTGGGGAGGTTCTTGGTGTTTTCTAGTTTAGATTTGCTCTCCTGGTTCCACAGTTTCAGATAATGGTGGTAGTCCGTGGTGTTCAGTTTCTTAACTGTTGAAAACAAACAATCATTTAACTTCACCACAGGGTGGCGCTGTTAAACAATCCTTTAACTTCACCACAGGGTGGCGCTGTTCTTCCGTATAAGGAATGTCCATTAAAACACCCATGTAATGTTCTTCTTCTTCAGTGATTAATGACATTATAGAACAGATATCTTTCCTAGAAGAACTGTGTAGGACATTAATTCTCACCTTTTTCGGTTTTAAATGTGACTCTGACAAAACCGTCATCCTTCTCACTTCTGCACCTGGAGTCATGACCTGAACAGAGGGGGAGGGTGGGCTGAGTTAATACAGGGTGTCCATTGAATATAGCTGTAAGACTGTTGGAAATGAATGGAAATGTGGAGATTTCCATAAAATATTAGATCACAACTACAACAAGACAGACACAAATAAGGGATGTTTGGATGGATGGATGGATGGATGGATGGATAGACAAAGTCTATTTCCTAACAAAGACAACACAAACAAAGACTCTGAAGTCGTTCCCAGGGTCTCGACAATTAACGATTAATGAGGCCAACGTGTACAGCATGTACTCAGAGGCAGATGTTTCTGTGTATTAATACCGGTCACTGTCACTGTGTCACTCTGACCAGGAAGTTGTTATGAAGGTACAGCATGTAATTGTGTTCAGTACATGGAGAAAAAAACCCGTCACAAACAAACAGTCACACTCAGAGAATAGTGCAGGCTCTTACTGTTGGACAAGTCTGGAGTGATGTCCTCAAAGAAATACTGAGTGGCTTCGAAGGCCGAGTCGGGCTCGTCCGGCTCCTGAACTACGTCTGCAATTCAGAGAAAATACTCGACTGAGATGAAGAAAATACGACCTCAACAAATGTGCTAGTTTTGTTTCCGTCATCAGAGGTTACACATGGTAACTGCAGCCGTACCAGGGAGGACGTGCATCTTGTACAGGAGCTTCAGTTTCTCCGTCAAATCCCCGTGACACAGCACACCTGAAACACAACAGGGAGTTTTTCATTTAATGCTTTCAACGACATCGTAATCGAACTAGATAAACTCTCCGTTCTGCTCGACTCACCCAGGCCACTGATGAACTCGCGGAAGTTAATGAGGGCGTCCCCGTTTTCATCCAGGAGACGGAAGAAGCGAGCGGCCAGCGGGTCAGAGTGGGCGCCGTTCGCCCAAGAGAAGAGCACATTGAACAGGCCCTTGAACTGCTCCACGTCGATGCGGTACTGCTCCAGGTAGGGCAGGCTGGGGTCGTGACGCTCCGTGGGGTTGCTGCTGCCGCCCCAGTAACAGCTGGTCAGGTGCTCCGCCTGTGGACAGGAAATAAATGAAAAAAAAACAAAACTTTTTTTTATAACTGGCACCAGTTTTCATTTTAACAAGCAGATAAATGGTGATGGTCATTTTTTTTTTTTACATAGTTCTTTCAAATAAAGGATTGTTGTATTTGGTCATAATTTGTCTGAAGCTTATTTTATTTAAAAAAAAAAAATCTGATTTAATAAAAAAATTATATTTAATAGATTAAATCCAGGGATGTTAATATTAACATTATTAAAATGAAAACCCGATAATTCAATACCTGGGTTTCACCAAATAATGTGTGCTCTAAAAATAGTTTTGAGGAAATATGAAAGTGACTAGTCACTAGATGGCAGCATTGCAGCTCATTTTTTAATCTTTATCTTTATTAATCTAAAGTGAGCTGAAGGTGACACCCAAACGTCTCTGTTTTGATTTTGTTTTTTTTTTCTGAGACTGAGGCACAGTTTGTTTTGTTGGGACTCACCTTGAAGAGCATGTACAGTTCCTCCAACTCATCAATACTGAACGCCGTCTCTGTGACAATGGTTCTGACCTGAAACGCAATCAGATGAAGTTAAAAATAGAAAACAGAGTTAAAAGTTAAAGACCAGCAGAGAAACTGACGAGGACGGAAACACTGGCGCTTTCATCCGAGTGAAAATCTACTCAAAGACCTGAGGCTACGGCTACAGAGCTGGTCCATCCAGAGCTGAATGTGCCATGTGTTTTTGAATGTGTAAAGAAAATATATAGCATATATTTGTAAATGTGCTGATCGTTATCACACCATTAAAGAGTTCAGACTTCATACTTCTTTAACAGAAAAATAAATCAGTTTGATTCAAGTTCAAGTTCATCAGGAACACGTTGTCAAACACAGATGACAAAATAATCTCATGTACAGTTGTTCTCAGTATTTGTTCACGTTCTTACCACGTTGCGTTTCGTCGTGTCCTCTATGGTTTGGATGACTCTCAGCCTCTGTTTGAAACGCATCTGTTCGATCACATCTGAACGGATGGAGCCAAATTTCTAACACGGAGAGAAACAGGTCAACGTCACTGTCAGTCA